AATTATTATTATTTGCTACATAACATATAGATACTACTGCGTAGACTAGATATCATTTAAATATTATTCTTTTTTATAAGATATATGGTACATATATTATATTTTTATATAATATATTTCTAACAAATATTTAAAAAGTTGTTATTAGTAGAATTTAATTTTATACTCATGTTTATCGATTTCATACATAAGCGATTACAAAATTATAAAGGATTATAAAAGGATTTTATAAGATTATAAAATGTATAAAAATATATGACATATGAGATAAAGAACATTTGTATACTAATTACATATAAATATATCTTTAAATATTCCAACTACATGCCCGTCCAAGCTTCCACAAAGAATCTTTACAATATTATTAGTTACAATTTATAATCAATCCATTTTTAAAAAAACTAAATTAAAAAATTCTAAGTTAGATATATTTTATGTTATAAGGATAGTATGACAAAATTAACAGGATAGATATTATTTAATAATTTTAGGAGCAATAATAATAATAATTTATAACGTTTATTTAATAATCACATCCATTTATTGTGCTAGAAATGTTAGCCTTAATATAAAAAGCAAAAATACTGACATATAATACTGAATTAGTTCTTTGGCCACAAACTCAATTGCATTTCGAAATAAAAAAACATGACTAAATAAAAAATAGACACTTCACAACTAAAGTAATACATTTTCTTCCAAAACAATATCTCAAACCGATTAAAAATTTACTTCTTTCTTATACTTACTATTATAATAACGTTTTTCTATTAAATATATTTTGTATATATATATTATTTTTTATATACTGAAGTATATATATATATACTTAATAATATGCTTAACAAAAGAAAATATAATTATACATAACATAAAACAATTACATAAAGAGAAGTATTGCATGTAAGAAAATCACAGATTTCGAACTTTTGTTTACTGCTTGTTTTGATATCTATCCAAAACAGATAAACATTCCATATAACATTGCATTTTGTATTTAGAATTTACTTTTTTCAATGCGTAAAGAAATGCCTTTGCAATTGCTGCCTCCTCTCCATCCTCCTTATCATCACTGACAGGCTGTGAGCACTTTTCTGACAAATTATGCACCAGTTTATTTATAGCCTCATTTGTATTGCCTATCATTAGAGACAGCTGTTCCTGTTCTTTATAAGATCTCTTTCGACTTGCAAATTGATCGGGTGGTGGAACAAGTAAATTTTTTTTTGGAATAGATAATCTTGGCTGACTAACTAATGTTGCAGTTGCTGAAGAATCTGAATTTGCTGAATATTCTGAAGGCGTTGATGTCTCTGGTAGTGGAGTTGATGCATTTGAGTCATCATTAAAAAGATTTTCAGTCCACAGATTGCTATACGATGATTCAGATGCTGATTGCGATGCTGACTGTAATGCAGGCTGTGATGTTGACAAAGGCGAAGTAATTATTGCACTCCTTCGTACAAAGTTGCTTGATGATTTGCGATGGGCCACATGTGGTGCCAAAAAGAGAAGGCAGTGATATAAGTACCATGTCTTCCGTGGCCTCTTTGTGTCATTCCCTGTATCCGATGGCTCATACATGGTCTCAAGGCGGTGTTCTCGAGTAAATTGGTTGCGAAGACTTTTCCATTGTTTCTGCACTACGTCCACTGCAAAATAGAATGAAATATAACTTCTCCAATCTAATATAATTAAAAAATCTTTAATTATACGACCAGTATACATAAAATATGTACAAATTATTTAAATTAGTCTATGCTTTTATCTCAAAATGTAAATAATTTTTTGTTCATTTACCTGACATACCGCAGGCATTTGCAATAGAACTCCATGTATCTGTGATAAACTTCTTGTCTTTGTATTCTTTACATTTTTTTTCATATAGACAAGGATTTTTTCGGACGAAATTGGCGAGCAATTCGCCAAAAGCTTCATCTACTTGAATATTTTCTTCTTGAGTATTTTCTTTGTCCGACATTATTTTTTTGGTTATTACACTGTCGCTCTAACCTACGCGTTTGTCCTGTCGTGCGCGATGTTCCTTCGTTTTATGTTGCTCGAGATAAAAGTTGACGAACTTTTCTAAAGACAAGAAACATGTAGCAAAAAACACAACTGTCGATAAAACAGAGCACGAAGAAACAAGAAAACAAGAGGCAAAAAGCAAGAAACAGGAAACAAAAAGCACATTGTAGATTAGACTTTAAAAATTATAATATCATCCAAGTATACCAAGCAAATCTTGCTTATTAATTGTTGTAAAACCTTTTCCATAAGTCGCTCAAAAGTGGCAGGAGCGTTACAAAGCCCAAATGGCATAACAGTAAATTGCCACAGCCCACTTCCAATGGAAAATGCTGTCTTTTCTTTATCCTCTGAACGAATTTTTACTTGCCAATAACCACTTTTCAAATCCAAAGTAGAAAACCAAGAATTACAGGACAATTGATCTAACATATCGTCAATACAAGGAATAGGATAGGAATCTTTTTTAGTAATTGTATTCAACTTCCTATAATCAACACAAAATCTTATTGTTCCATCTTTCTTTTTAACCATAACTGCTGGAGAAACCCAAGGACTATGTGATTCCTCTATTACTCATTGTCGTTTCATATCCTCAATGATTTTATCAACTTTCTCTCGCATACGCAAAGGTATTCGTCGAGGAGTCTGCTTGATAGGATTAAAATTATTTACATTGATGACATGTTCCACGATGTCACAATTTCCAGCTACAATTTCCTCTGAGAACACATCCTCAAAATCCATCAAAAATCGAGCAAAAAGATCCTTTTGATCTTTATTTAAATTTCTTGATTCCCTTTCAAAAAGTTCAGTTAACATTTGTGGAACTTCATCAACACAGTTTTCTATTCGGGAACAAACAAATTCCTCCTCCTCTTTCAGCACAGAATTCCCAAAAATTGGTTCAAAAACATTTTCTAAATTTACTTTAAAAAAAAAATCAGTTCCTAATAAACAATCCTCATCCATATCTACTACAAAAACCGGAAGTTTAATTGAATATTTTCCTAATTCAATTATATATATAATACAATTACCTTGGATTCAATAGAAACTTTTTCTCCTGTAGGATATTTTAAACAATGAGACAAATTTACCAAAGTTTGTTGTTTTGATGTTTTTACTAAACTTTTATTAATTAATGTTACATCCGAGCCCGTATCTATTTTTAAAACACACATTTGTTTATTAACATAACCTTTAAAACAAAACAATTTTCTTTTACTTTTAATATTTTTAAACTTATTACAACAAATCTTATTATATTCATACGGCGTCTTAAGTTCGATAGCCGAACTTGCCCCTACTAGTTCGACTAAACCTAGTTTCCCTTTTCAGGCTTTTGCTTCAATGTTGGATATTCTGCTCGGAAATGACCCGAATTTTCGCATTGCCAACATTTTTTATTATTTTGAATTATTTTATTCTTTTGAAATCTATTTCTTTGAAAAACTTGAGTTTCCTTTTTATTCTGTACTTTTTCTTCTCCATTAATTTTTTTCAAATTATTATTATTCTTATTTTTATTTTTATTAAACTTCTGTATTCTTTCTAAATTTCTCAGAGAAACTGTTTTCACTAACTTTAAAATAATAATACACGCTTATTTTTGAGTTTTAGCCTGTTCTAGGTGCTATTTATTAATATATCTTACATATAATTGTCATTCGAACGTTTCGGCACCTTTTTTTGGGCCTTCTTCAGCGCTATAACGAAAGGAATTACATTCTAATTACTTATAAAACTTACTTATAAACTAATTACTTATAAATTTTAGGGTCTTTTTCCGCCCTATTACTGTTTATTACTTACAATCTAATTCTGTTGCGTCTCTTAGTTAAAAATTTACATTGGTTTTTTTGTTGTTGTTATCTTTTGTCCATTTTTATGAACTTTTTTTCCATCTCTTGCTTTTTTAGGCTGCGTTCCGTAAAGCGCATATGCGCGCATCTATCTATAGTATACATAACGTATACTATAGATAGATGCACGCATATGCGCTTTACGGAACGCAGCCTTAGTGTGTCAGTCATGGCAACTATTGATTTCTATTTATTGGTTCTATGTTCTTTATTGACTGTAATTATGATTTAAATGTGTTATTAATCTTTATTTATTTAAATTAATTATGCTGTTGGTCGTTCTCACCTCAATTCTTCAGACTGGCTGGATTGCTTTTTATTAGGACTTGTTACTCTGTGTGTTGTTCAGTTCGTACTAAGTCGTCTTGTCTTGTATGATCGTTACTGATGGTATGATTATTTATTCTTTGGAGGAAGTCAGTGTAGGAACCTCAGTGTAGGAAGGTAAGCACTTGGTAGGAAGATAGAATTTTAACAGACAGATATGACAGATAGAATTTTAACATTGTCACATCACAAATTTCACAAGATCAATCTTAATAAAGCAATAAACGCATTACTTGAAAACGATTATCCATTAAAATTTATTTTCAATAACATGAGAAATAGGATTAACAAATACAATAACGACAAAAAAAGTACGGGAAACAAAGAAAATAACAAAAAACGGAAGAAAAAGAAAAGAAATATTTTACTTTACCATACATGAAAAATAACACGAAGAAACTAGAAAAGAAAATTAAAGAACACGGATTCTCTCCCGCATATAGTTGCCACAATAAATTAAGTACATACATAAAAAATCATCCCTTAAATTTGAGTTAGGGCCGCTATAAAAAAATACGTGTCTCCTCAAATTGTATGTTTTACAACATATTTCAAGAAGAATCAAATCGGGAGAGGATACTTGTGAACGTTCCTTTGTTAGTGGGGGAGCCCTGAAGCGCAAGGGGGACCGAAGGGCATTTCTCCGACCCCGCCCTGTGAGTCGCTTCCCTCCCCGCCACCACACAGATTAGGCATCGGGCAATGAGCAACAAATCCCAACTCAATTTTTAATCATAGAGTTCTAACTTGCAACACATAAGAGTGAATCTCTCTTGTTCAGACTGTCAGTGACATATTCACTCCTTCTCTTCCACTGCTCAATTAAGGAATTTAATCATCGAATTATTTTTTTGCTACAATTCCGAATTTTATACAAAAAAATGTCTTTGGAAATGTTGGCTTTTTACACAACAGTATGCTCTCATAATTTGAACATAGAACGGATTTGGACAATGAAGATTATAATTTATATTAATTGCGTTTTGTTAATGCGTATCATGTAACTAAAAATTGTGTCACACGAATTGTATTCCGTAATGCGTATCTTGTAATGGAAATTTAAAATTCTTAAATCAGTTTTTCATAATATCAAATTAACATCTAATAACACTGATGAAGGTCTGATCCAGGCAGAAACGTTTGTTTTATATACATTTATACTATTGAAGTAAATATATGTACTTTAACTCTACATCGGCTCGTTTGCCTCTTTATTTTATTCTTTGATTAATATTACTTTCGAGCCTCAGAATATTATTTTATTGTTATTATTTAATATTTTTTCTTTTTATAAATAGAAAAAGATACTGAAAGTGATTCTGATTATGTACAAAGTGAATATTCGTCAGCTGCGAGTGACTCCGAGAAAATAGAAAAATCAGAACAGGAAGATGATATCAAAAAGCACTTTTCTAACATGCAAAATAATGATTCAACGATATCTACAGGCATGGATGTTAGTAATGTTGAGGGATGTGTAACTCGGCAAGATGAACAAACAGTAATACCTACAAAATTTGCTGGCACAAAAAAATATATGTGTGTGTTCTGTCACAAAATGCAAGCAAAAATTGCTCGACATTTCGAATTGGTTCATTCTAAGGAACCTGACGTTCAAAAGTTCAAATATTTACCTAAAGGTTGTAGCAAAAAGAAGAAAGATCATTGATACTTTAAGAAAAAGAGGAAATTTCAAATTTAATATTGAAAAACAATACGAAGGACAAGGTTTTATTTCATGTAGACGAGCAAGAGAAAATCAATCTAAGATTTTGAAAAATTATTTGGCATGTGGAAATTGCAAGGGTCATTATTTAAAATCGACATTAAGACATCATTTCAAAAAATGTACAGGTCGGACAGGAGAAAAAGTCGCATTGTTAAAGTAATGGGTCGAAGAATAGAAAGCAAATGTCTCAAAGAAGCTGATGAAAGAGTACGACGATTAGTCTTACCAGTAATGAGAAATGATGACGTAACGCGCAATATTCGTTATGATAGTTTGTTGTTATTGTATGCGAATTCCCAGTGCAAAAAATATAGACACTCATCGCATCATTTACAAATGATTCAATTGCGGCTTGTAAGTCGTCTATTGATAGCGATGAAAAATATTAATAATGATGTAACGTCTTTGACTTCTATTTATGACCCAAAATATTACGATACTTTTTTAGATACGATAAATATTGTTGCTACAATATGACAAAGAAAAGGATACCTATGAAAAGCCAGCTGTTGCATCTAATCTTGGTACTTACGTAAAGTATATTGGCAAACTTTTAATAACAAAATGCATAAAAGAACATGACGATAACACGAAAACAAATACAAAAAATTTTTTAAAACTGTTAACGGTTGATTATGGAGCAAGTGTTAACAAAACTGTAGTCGAATCTCAAACTTAATTTAGAAGACAAAAAATTACAAAACTTCCTACAATGGAAGATATACAAAAATTGCGGAATCATCTATTAAAAGTGCAAAAAGAATCATACAATAATTTGAAAAACAAATTTTCATTATTTGATTGGATTTCTCTTGGAGAAGCTACTTTAACATCAATACAATTATTTAATCGCCGCCGGCCAGGAGAAACTGAACGAATATTAATTTCTGATTTTAAAAATTACGAAAGAATTAATGAAAAATATCGATACGTTCAGTAAATTATCTAAAGAAAGAAAAGAACAAGCATAAAAATATGTCCGATTTTGTATACGCGGAAAGTTAGGAAGAACTGTTCCTATAATATTAGATA